AGAAGATTCACGGGTCGAAGGTATTCAGGAAGCAAACTGTGGCTTAATTTCTTACATTTTTAACGAATAAATGGCGAAAAGCTTGACATAAGTAATTTTTTACCTCAGCAGTAGGCACATATTTCCGAGGTTCAGATCATCAACGCCAACTTCAATGAAAACTCGAAACGACTTACTCTGACACCAGCGCGATCACCATCCACTGATTCTCGACTGACTGACAGCTGAAGGCAATCAAACTCTTCACAGAGTTCCCTTTTGCTCCATATTCGTTTCCAAAGGTGTGCAGCTTAATGACAAACCATTCCATTTAAAACACAATTCACAAACACAACAGATATGTACGATGTAGTCGTTCAATTCTGAACTTCAGCAACATGGGTACAAATTCAACCGCGGAGCGTATATTTTTTTAATCAACTGATAATATCATTCAGGATTGAATTCACCCCTGTACAAAAAGGACAGCTAGTCAATGATCTGCAAATAATAAGAACAGCAGACTTGTACGGCCAGTAGTATAAAGATGTGCTCATAACAGCTGCCATCTGCAGTGACCTATCTGACACCTAACTAGATTAGCAGATGGTGGAAGTCGTACATTTAAAATTTCTTCGTATTTCTTTGTATTCAAGGCGACGCCGAGTGCTGAACAAATATTCCACCTTAACTGAATAAAAGCGTGCTTATTTTTCAGCCATTACGATGTCATATAAATTTTGATGAAATCGTTCGATTTTGTTGGAGGTCACACTGGCAGAAGTCTGCCATCGAGCTTTGTGTTCAGTGCTCATTTCACACGCCAACTAACCTCCATTCGATGGCAATAACCTCACAATGTTTAAGGCACTGTTTGCACCAGTCGGTCAGTTTAGTCGGATATTCTACTCCCTTTCACTCCCTTACAACAGAGCATTTCACACCAGGTTGCGACTTAATTTCTAATATTGACTTCAGAATCTTAATTTTCGTCATTTCTGGTTTACTGCTTTCAGCTTTATTAAGTACTGCGGTCTCAAAGACATAAAGTAAGAATTTTAAAATGCGACCTTTGTATATCCACAAACTGGCACTATTGCCAATATGTTTGATCCTCCAAAGCTTGAATAACTTGTTGCTCGTTCATATGTCAATGCACAGCATCTCTCAACTTCTAAGATACTGATGTTCTGGTACCTTTACTACAATCTCAGTGTCAAAGGTCAGAGAGCCTTTCGTCTGGGTTCTACCAATTTACATCTACTTCTTCGTTAAGTTAATCGCGAGACCAAGATTAGAAAGCCTCTGTTTCATGGTTAGGAACAATGATGTCGCAGCATCGAATCTGTCGGAAGCAAGCAACACGATATCCTCCAAAATTGCATGACAGTTAACCCAGATATTGTTCATTCTTGCCATCGTCGCTTCATTCCTTTGTACTGGCCGGAGTATCCAGTCAAAAAAAATCGTACAGGGCAGTTGAGATTCCACTTCTCCTTGGCCTAATCGAATATTTGTACCAAAGAATCTTATGAACCTGAGATCAATTCG